GGTTTCGCAAATGAAAATTATAGTTTCTCAAAGCTATCTTGAAATGGTATGGAGGGAGCTGAACGCTCACAACATGATCACACTGGAAACCAGATGTGAAATTACCGTATCTTGGGTGAAATTGATTGTACCAATGTTCAGCTACATGGGATTGTACTCATGGGGGAAAAGCCTGCTTCTGTAGCAAAGACACAGTTCAACAAAAAGGTGCAACCCTATGTACGCAATAAGCTGAAAGGAACCAGGCAACTTATCTTTTGGTCGTCCGTCAAGATATGACCCGGTTTTCAGGGCTTTTGCAACAGAGATCACTAAGCCTTCTGGGTTCAAGTACACTAGATTTCGTCCCCCCGAGTGTTGGGGGCGGAGCTCGTACGATACAATAATTTTTTCGATCAGGTGAATCTTCAGGTCGTGAAACAGGAGCAAACGGTTACTTCGAAAGTGAAGCATGAAAAGATAGACAGAGTTTCAAAGAACAAACGACCATGGATGATGATCAGAGGAGGTGGATTTTCCCTGGAAAAATCATTTATCTGCAGTAACTTTCTGCAGAACGAATCGAAATGTCCGCAATATGGTCTTATCACTAAATAAGGCAGTTTTGTTGTCTTGCAAGTCTTAGCTGGCTGCAGAAGAAATACGGTTCCATAGTGGTGAGTTGACTGAGCTGTATGGAAAACGACACCGTGTACTTCTTTCTCAAGGTTGTCCGCAGATTCATCCCCAAAAACGATTCATACTCACCTCGGGAGAAATTACTCCAAAATAACTAATGCATTTCTTTACTGAATTTTCTATGACACCTACAAAACAGCTTCTAGCCACATCAAAATTCCGGACAATTGTGTTTTGATTTAAGAATGTTGTACTGTATAGAAATATCGTTTGTGTTTGCCATAGAAATGATTCGTTATGTTTAGACAACAAGGGAATTAATTCAGTTTGTAACAGACCAAAGATTTGTTGAAAAATCCCAAACAATTATAACTGTTGATCGGAGAAAAGCCTCTTTTGGAATGACCAAGTGACCTTGAAACTGTAGAATCACTGGTTTCACAACGTTTTAACTTTAATTGCTTTCAGCAGCAGCAAGGGCCGCCGCAGAATCCATCGAGGATTGATTGAGTTTGGGTTCGCTTGATCGATTAGCTACTTCTTACTGCTGTCAACCGTAAATACGCTAATCAGCCGTGCAATTTTAGCCGATACGAAGTAACATGAAAGTTGCCAGGACTTGCACTTCTCTGCCTCCTAAAGCACTGATTCCGTGAATTCTGTTCTGTGGAGAGAAAAAATGATATGCCAGGCTCGAATCAAATGAAGCAGCCGCTGCTGCTTGAACGAAAACACAAAACTGAACATAAAAATATCAAGATTTCTCACCCATGTAAGAAAATTGTTGGCCAAATATACTGCATTGTCTTTATAGTTGTACTATTTACAAGGGGATTTAAAATCAGTCTGAACGGTGTATTGAAAAATTAAAACAACGGAATTTTTCGTCGACATCTACTGGGAATTCAGTTTTCAGACTTTGATTCGAACACGTAGTAGTAGGAGCTGAGCGGATTAGGGAGCAGCATGGGCGATATGTGTATTGTTCCCGTTCGCGGGCAAATAGACAGACCGAGTCGATTGGATTGAATTGAATTTTAGCAGACAAGCTTAACCGGCTCGCTTGGTTCTAAAATGATGCGTGTTATTCGTGAAGAGACTTGAAACCACCTCAGATGATTTGATTTAGAAACTTGATCGCAATACGGATGGTTATTTTAGTCGCTTGTCGGTCGTAAATTTCATATTCATTGAACATAGTGTTTGCGTGTGTAAATTATCCGAAAAGATTAGAAAACAAGTGAAAATCAGATACTGTAAAACAGCTACATTCTATAATATTAAAAAAAATTTCCTAAATTACCGCAGTAATACTGTTTGAATGCTACATTTTAAGGCAAAGCGAAGGTTTTGATACCTAACATTAGGTGGCCACATACATGCTGTCTAAGAGAGCCTAGTATAAACAAACTACTTCAGATTTGACATTTTTATTTTCCGAGATAAACGTGAAGAGCAAGATCACAGCACGGCCAGGTTGCACGATGGCATGCCAAGGCAGATTTCGCTGCATCGAAGAAAACAGTACATCAGGTTACAGGCGGATACGACAGGAACGAATCATCACACTTTTACCACGGGGATATTCGACGATATAAACTGTAGTTTTCTGCTGTATTGTACCAGTTGATATGCAACGAAATCTACCCTGGCCTAAATCGTGTTGTGCTCTCTCTTCTACTTCAGCTTGACCAGGTGGATTGTTAGCATCTTTTCCTTTAATCTTTCTCATTTTTACTTCCTTTTATTGAATATACAATGATATGAGTTTCAG